TTCCACTGCTGAAGAAACACTATGGAAGCTTTTTAAGACACTATCAGGATATCAGTGGTAAAAAAAAAAAATTTAAAAAAAAGGATATCAGTGGTAACAAGCACTTTCTCTCCCGCCTCTACTCCTTCAAAATTCAGCTCAGTCATCACCACTTCCAGGAAGCCCCCCGAGGTGCCGCCGTCCTCTCCAGGCTGGGCCGTCGAGCCCTCCCTCGAGCTTGCAGCGAAAGCTCTGCATGCTTTTGTCTTAACGCTGACCATAGTCCGCATACCGGGTTCTCAAGAAGCCTGAACATGTCAAGTGACACATGTGGGGCCTGTGACCCTTCCTTGCCCGCCAGGTGCTTCTGGGATTCGCAGCCAGCTCCTTCTTGGAGAGCAACGCGGACCCTCCCAACTGACGGAAGCATCAGCCGCTGTTCCCGGCCCTCACCTGCCTCACGGGGGTGCTATGGAGACACAGGACGCTGCTACCCGCACGTAAAATGCCATTTCCTGGGTAAACATCGCATCAGTAGGCGGGTGCTTGCCACACATGAACTCATTTAACCTCCACTGTCACAACCATCGCCTTCCTATAAGGTAGAACCACTCCCAGCATCCCCACGTTGCACATAAGGAAACTGAGGCAAAGAGATGTTAAGTAACATGACCCGAGACCTACAGCTACTAAATGGCAGAGTCAGGTGGAAACTCTAACCATCTGGCTCGAGTCTGTGCTCTAAACCACTGTGCTGCCACCGTCGTGGTGCATTTGCCTCTGCATTGAGGACTTTTCAGCTCTTGATATGAATGATAAGGTCATTTGGGGGCGCCTGGGTGGCTCAGTCGGTTGAGCACCTGACTCTTGATCTCAGGTCATGAGTTCAAGCCCCATGTTGGCCCAGCATGGAGCCTACTTTAAAGATATCTAGATAGATGATATAGATAGATAGATATCTAGATAGATAGATATTTTTAAAAAATAGTAAGCACTTAATCATGAGGGGGTAGATGCAGTATCATTTTTTTTTGGATGCAGTATCATTTATAATCAATGAGAAACAAAATGTTATTTTAAAAAATACAAATTCAATTTAAAAGGTGTTATGGACTGGGGTCGCCTGGGTGGCCGAGCCAGCTGAGCACGGACTCTTGGTTTCGGCTCAGGTCATGATCTCGGGGTCCTGAGACGTGGCCGAGCAGGGCTCTGCGCTCCGTGAGGCCTCGGCCTGAGGATTCTCTCCTTCTCCCTCTGCCCCTCCTCCTGCTCTTTCACTCTCACACTCTCTGTCTCGAATAAATAATGTATTTTTTTTAAAAAAAAAAAGGTGTTATGGACTGAATTGTGTTCCCCCTAAAATTCCCACATTAACCCCTTAATGTGACTGTATTTGGAGACGGGGTTCTAAAGAAGTCATTAGGGTTAACTCAAGTCATAAGGGAGGGGCACTGATCCAATGAGACTGGTGTCCTTGGAAGAAGAGGAGGAGACACCAGAGAGTTCTCTCCCTCTGCAGCCATCTACGAGCTAGGAAGAAGCCTGCCAACCCTGCTGGCGCTCTGACTGTGGCCCTCCAGCCTCCAGAACAGGGACAAAATAAATGTCTCTTGTTTAAGTCACCCAGTTTGTGGCACCGTCTTCCGGCAGCCCAAGTGGACTAATAAGAAAGCGCAGGTGCAAGTAAGCCTCCCATTTCCAACGCTATTTCCAGCAAGCAGAAGATCAAGCGGTCAAGAGTCCTAGGAAGATTATCAGGAACTCGTTGGGTCAAACCAAACAATTTTGTCAGGGACTCCTCCATCCTGAAATCCATCGGCCTCTTGACATCAACAGGAAGTATTTGCCAAGTGTCTACCAATTCTGCGCCCGGGAAGTCCCTGGTCTGTGCGGTCAGGAAGCCACGACGACGCGTATTCACCTGAATGGGGGCGGGGGGCTGGCAAGGCCCTCGGTGTTCGCAGGGGAAGGTTCACGTCGACAACAGCCTCCAGAGTCTTTTAGAGGATTTGATGCTCTTCAGGAAGAGAGAACAGGGTGAAATACAGTTGTGCGGAGTAAGACTCGCTCCACAGGGCGGCGGTGCCCACAGAGCCTCAGAGGCTGAGGCACGGGCCTAGGGGCAGGCGTCCAGGGCCACAGTGGAAAGGCAAGTGCACACTTCTGAAGAGTTTTGAACCACCAGTTTTTTTCTTTTTAAGATTTTATTTATTTATTCATGAGAGACACAGAGAGAGAGAGAGAGGGGCAGAGACACAGGCAGAGGGAGAAGCAGGCTCCATGGAGGGAGCCTGATGCGGGACTCGATCCCGGGTCTCCAGGATCACACCCTGAGTGGAAGGTGTCAATCACACCCTCTGAGCCACCTGGGCTGCCCTGAACCACCAGTTTTGTTAGGTTCGAATTTAGACTCCAGTGGGGTGGCTGGATGGGGGGAGGAATGCAGGCAAAGACACATTCAGGAAGATGATTCTGGAAGCTGAGTGTGGTGGAGGAGACGGTGAGGAGAGAATGTGAAGGCGGGAAGACCAGCTGGCAGGTGAGGCAATAACCCAAAGTTGCGTTCTAGGACCTTCTCGGTTAGGCTGGTGGTCCGAGGGGCATAAGGAGCCCACGTGAGTGACACCGACAACCAGATAAACCTCCTTCCTTCATCCTCCTCCCTCTCGGCCTCCTCCTCCTCCTCTCAGCAGGTGACACCCATTCACCCAAGGGGGCCTGTGGCTCAGGGCAGCTGTTTGGGACTTAAACCCTACGACGCCCCACCATCAGGGGTGTGTCGGAGCAGGCTGGCACCAGCTCTCGAAAACCAATCGATACATCTTCAGAAATGTTATGGGCTGGCTGTTGGACCCGGCCACCATTCAAATAAAACTAGTTCTTCCACAGCCAGTCTTGAAAACGAAGGTAATGAGAACTCAGAACGCATCAGCCCTTAACCCCTTTACTGCGCTCTACGCTCACCTCCTGCTACCTCGGGGCTCCAGGTCGTTGGGCTCCCGCTCGTGGCCACAGGTTGGCAATATCCCAGAGCGGGGGGGGGGCTTCCGGGGGTGACCCCTGACCTGCGGCTGGGCACCGAGGGAGCGTTCACACCGTGCGAATTGCTCAGGGCTCCACCGATGGCTTCGCTGCATGTCCAGACCTAAGAAAGTGAAGAAGGGACAGTTAATAGCGCAGACTAAACGTCAGACAGAGCCTGGGAGAGCTGTCATCTCGATGAGTCTAATCCGTGCGGCGCGATAGAGTTCTGGGACAGCTCATAGGTGGGTGCAATGACCGACTTACTGGGAAGTGAGTTAGTGGATTGGGATACAATTTCTTTTTCTAAAAAAGATTTTATTTATTTATTTGAGAGATAGATGGCGAACAAGTGGGGAGAGGGGCAGAGGGAGAAGCAGACTCCCCGCTGAGCAGGGAGCCCGATGTCTGGCTCGATCCCAGGACCCCAGGACCATGATATCATCCAAAGGCTGATGCTTAACTGACTGAGCCACCCAAGCACCTCCTGGGATACAATTCCTATTGCTAAACCATAAGCTGGCTCCAGATACAGGAGTTTTGCAAAAATTCATGATAGCACTCAGTGAAAACCAACTGTGTGGAATTTACAATAAATAGAGCATTAATATTATCTGTCACAAATTGTGTGCTACACATCCTTTATATCAGCAAGCTTTATTTTTTATCAGCAAACTTTTTTTTAAGGATTTGATTTATTTATTCATGAGAGACAGAGACACAGGCAGAGGAAGAAGCAGGCTCCATGCAGGGAACCTGATGCGGGACTCGATCCCGGGGCCTCAGGGTCATGACCTGAGCCTAAAGCAGACGCTCAACCACTGAGCCACCCGGGTGCCCCCATAGGATGATTTCTCCAACGGCAGCTGACTCTCCCTACAATGAATAATCAAGATGGAAACTATAGCTTTCTCTCACCTAATCTCAGAAATGAAGGCCCATCTCTTCTGCCACCCTCTGCTGGTCACACAGACTAGCCGGGTCCAATACGGCGATGAGGTAGGGACTCATTGGTAGCCAAGTTGGAGTTCTTTAAAAAAAAAAAAAAAAGATTGTTTTTTATTGTGGCAAAATATGCATAACATAAACTTGACCATTTTAACCATTTTTGAGTCTACAAAGACATTAAGTGCGTTCACATTGTTGTGCACTCCATCACCATCATCCATATCCAGAACTTTTTTCAGCTACCTGAACTGAAACACTATATCCATTAAACGAGAATTCCCCATTTCCCCCCTCCCCCCAGCCCCTGACAACCACCCTTCTACTTTCTGTCTCTGTGAATTTGATTACTCTAGGACGAGAGTACTCTTAAGTACTCTAAGTACTTCACGTAAATGGAATCGTATAGTATTTGTCCTTTGGTGACTGGCTTATTTGGCATAATGTCTTCAAGGTTCATCTGTGTAGCATGTGTCAGAATGTCATTCCCTTTCAGGGCTGCATAATATTCCAGTGCACACATATGCCTCATTCTGTTTATCCACCCATCCATTGATGGATACTTGGGTTGTTTCTACCCTTTGGCTCTTATGAATAATGCTGTTACGAACATGGGTGTACAAATATTTGTTCGAATCTCTGCTTTCAATTCTTTTAGGTCTATACCCAGAAGCAGAATTGCTGGATCATATGGTAATTCTAAGTTTAACTTTTTTGAGGAAAAATCAGACTGTTTTCCACAGTGTATGCACCATTTTACATTCCCATCATCAGTGTACAAGGGTTCCAGTCTTTCAACATTCTTGCCAACACTTGCTGTTTTCTTTTGTTAGTTTTGGAATTGTTTATCTTATATTATTTATTTTATTTTATTTTGGAATTGAACAACATCCACATCCAACATGGAGCTCAAACTCATGACCCTGAGATCAAGAGTCACATGCTCAACCAACTGAGCCAGCCAGGTGCCCCAACATTAACTGTTTTCTGATTTAAAAAAAAAAAAAACAACAAAAACAGCCATCCTAATGAGTGTGAGGTATTTTGGTGTTTTTTAATTTTTTTAAAGATTTTATTTATTTATTCATCAGAGACAGATAGAGAGAGGGAGACAGGCAGAGGGAGAAGCAGGCTCCATGCAGGGAGCCTGTGGGACTCATCCGGGTCTCCAGGATCACGCCCTGGGCTGAAGGCAGCACTAAACCACTGAGCCACCCGGGCTGCCCTCTTATTTTGGTTTTGATTTACATTTCCAAATGATCCATGATGTTGAACATCTTTTCATATGCCTATTGGCCTTTTGTATATCTTCTTTGGAGAAGTGTCTGTTCAAGTCCTTTGCCCATTTTTCATTCAGATTGTTTGATTTATTATTGTTGAGTTATAGACATTCTTTGTGTATTTTGGATCCCAATCCATTATCAGAGATAATGATTCGCAAATATTTAGTTCTGTTCTGTGGGTTGCCTTTTCACTCTATTGATAGTGTCCTTTGATTCACAAAAGTTTTGAATTTTGATGTAGTCTAATTTACCTACTTTTCTTTTGTTGTCTTTTATTTTTGTCCAAGGAATCATTGCCCAGTCAAACATCAGGAATCTTTTCCCCTATTGAGAGTTTTTTTATCCCATCTTTTTCATCGTTTGGTCTTGCCCTCAGGATCAAGTCTCGACTTGTCATGACACTTAGGGCTCCTCATGCCTCTGATGAAAATGTATTTTCTTATTTGTTCATTGAGAGATTCAATATCAATTTGTTGGATGTGACCATGTTGTAGGCATTGGAAACAAAAGAGATGAAAAGCTTTGTTCTTGTGGGTCTCACAATCTAGTAAGAGAACAAAGAAAACAAACATGTAAATCAATTATACTTTTTTGTAAAGTTATGTAATAGGGTAGATATTAACATTCTTGGCCATCAGTGGGCGATAACTACCCTGTGGGGTAAAAAGATCAGGGGTTCTTCGGCAGAAGGCTGCTGTGCAATTTGAGAAAGTTATAGTAGGCCTCTGAGAGGGAGACATTTGACATAAAAACTTGAAGTGGTGAGAGCATGAGTCATATGGGTATCTGAGGACAAGCCACTGCAAGGGCCCTGAGGTGGGAATGCGTCCATGCAGTCAAAGACTGGCAGAGAAGCTGGTGCAGCTAGGATATTTGGAATGAGCGGGTGGTGGATGGAGAAGTAGGGTGTGAGGTCACTCTGTGGCACCTCATAGGCCGCTTAAAGACTGCGTGAAGCGCAGAGCCTAGCAGTGTCACGATCTGACTTGACATTTGTAAAGGCTGACTCTGGGCCTGGGGTAAGAATTCTGTGTGAGGGGAAGGGGTGGAAGCGGTGTAATCTGTGAGGAGATGATGGCAAGAATCTAGGTAGGGGACAGCAGTGGTTTGGACCAAAGGGCTAGGCTAGGGGGTGTGAGGAGGGAAGGGTGCCCCGGTACTGAAGCCGTAACTCTAAAATCCCATTTCTTTTCAAAGTTGAGGTGCCAGTCAATGGCTTCATATGGCACACACGTTGTCGCGAATGTCACAGCCTTAGGAAGAAAATCCATTTCCGTATCACTAACTGATTAATGAAGTATCTCTTACATCTCGAGGTTAAACTACTTGTTAGCGAAAACCTCTGCAGCCGAAGGTCCTCTCTGGGAAAAGTGTTAGTTCTCCGAGGACGTTGAGCCGCACAGTTTTTGACCTCTCCCGTCCCTTCAAAACAAGAGGGAAACACACTTGTCCGTACTTGTGTATGCAGCTGCGGTCCCGGGTGTTGGGAGCTGGGGTGGAGGAGGCTGGGAGCGTCGATCATAACTCATTGGCTTTGTAATTAAACTCTCCTGTTATTAAAGCAGAGATTCTGAAAGACTCCTGCTGTGTGGGACTGAGAATTATTTATCACAGGAATTCAGGCTGCTTTGCCATGAAAATGTTGCTGTGCTATTGTGTTCCTGAGATCCAGAAGCTCCGATTTGGAAATATCCATAGGTGTGGATATACAGGCATCGTTTCAGCTTTCTCACTCACGTCCAGTTTATTGAGGTTTCTATGGGCATGTGTGTGTGACTAACGTCTTGGCCTTTCTTTGCTTAATCTCCCTTTTTTGAAGCACGAAGTCGGTGTGTCAGACTCAGGGGAGCGGTTAGCCTGAGGGACGAAAAGAATATGTAAGCATCGCTTATCTCTGCTCTGGCCGGTGCACATCTGGCCGGTGCACATCTTTACAAGTTCCTAGCGTCCTGATGGAGGCAGCACCCATCAGCCAAATAAACCATCAGTTCTACGGGTGGCCTCGGCATGGGGGCACCCACCGTGTTACTCAAAACTGAGCGACTTTGCCGATAGAGCCAGAGATGAGAATTAGCCAGTGACTTTCTCAATCAGAGAAGGACAATCATCACATGGTCTCGCTCACCCGGGGAATATAAGAAAGAGTGAAAGGGATCATAAGGGAAAGGAGGGAAACTGAGTGGGAAAAAATAGAGAGGGAGACAAACCATGAGAGACCCCTGACTCTGGGAAACACACACAGGGCTGCAGAAGGGGAGGCGGGTGGGGGGATGGGGGGACTGGGTGACGGGCACTGAGGAGGGCACGTGATGGGATGAGCACTGGGGGTTATACTATAGTTGGCAAATCGAACTTAAATATAAACAAATGAAAAAAAAACCCAAAACAATGATTTTTCTCCTTCAATGTGGGGTCAGTTATCAAGTGACACATGTGAAACTGAGACAAGTGCACATTAAAATGTAATAAAAACAACCTATTTTAAAAAAAAAAAACTATCTATTTTAAATAAAAACATGTTAGGGGCGCCTGGTTAGCTCAGTTGGAAGAGCATGGGACTCCTGATCTCAGGGTGGTGGGTCTCAGCCCCATGTTGGGTGTAGAGAGCAAACAGATAAACAAGCAAACAAACTTAAAAATAAATAAAGGGGCACCTGCATGGCTCCGTTGGTTGAGCGACTGGCTCTTGATTTTGGCTCAGGTCATAATCTCTGGGTCCTGAGATTCGTCGGGCTCTGCTCTGGGCTTGGAGTTGGCTTGAGGTCTCTACCTTCCCTCTGGCCCACTCACACACACACTCTCTAAAATAAATAAATAAATCTTAAAAAAAAAAAACAATAATAAATAGAAACATGTTAAATGGCGGTCAGTGTCATTGCTACTTAAACTTTTCGCATGAATTTCTACTATGACCCTGATTGGAGCTTTTAGTATGATTGGATCCAAGTCTCCCATCTTTGTTTTGATTTGTCCCACCTGTTCTTTGTCCCTTTCTTCCTCCTTTCTTGCCTTCTTTTGGCTCAATTGAGTATTCTTTAGTATTTCATTTTGTCTCCTCTGTTGACGTGTAGCTCTCCCTCATTGTGTGTGTGTGTGTGTGTGTGTGTGTGTGTACGTGTGTTCATTTTAGAGATTATAATATGCAATTTTAACTTATCACCGTCTACCTTAAAATAACATTATGCTACTTCTTTACCATCACTTTAGTTAATTTTTTCGTATGATCATGAGGGGAAAAAAATCAATGCGATCCCTATTATATTTATGTGAAGATTAGCTGTATTCAGATTTGCATTTTAAAATCAATGTGGGTGCAGAGCTCTCCTCCGCCTAATCACAGAATTGATTATGCAGCTCACAGATGTTTGTGCGGTTGTTGGTTGCGGGCTTACCTGGGTGTTTCATTCCTTCAGAGACAAATAGCTCTTTGTTTTTCTCTTTTGAAAGAGCTAATGTAAATTAAGAAAACCAAAGGAAACATTTAGCAGAAATCTTTCTTTAAAGAGAAGATGAAGGAGGCTTGGTGGAGTACAGGCCGTGGTGTAATAACCCTCTTTTTTCACATTGAAGTTTTTGTCGCTCAGACGCTGGAACCACTTTCTTGGGGTTGAGTTGACTAACTTCTCAGTCTCAGAATGTGAATGGACCTGAGACCCCGTTGAGGAGACAAAGCCCTTTGGGGTTCATCTTCGTGTCTTTTACGGATGAACCCCTTCTTGCCTCCCTGCATGACGCGTGTGCCCCATCCCATTTAGCCTTTCTGTGTCCATCACAGAGTTGGTTAGGGCAGTGAGTCAGCCCCTGGCATCTGGAGGTGCGAACTGCTTATAATCAACTATTGGCCTGAAGGAGGCCACGATTGCAGCCGGGTTGATTGAGGCACCCTGTGCAGACTGGCCGTCTCTGGAAATTAATTTTCTTGACTACCAAAGGAACGATTTTTTAAAAAACATTGGGAGCCTTTACCAAATAGTATGGTGAAATATTGCCCTTGCTTACAACATCACTGGTTTTGAACTTCAAATGTTGAATCCTGTAGAATTCCATCTGTTACTATTTTACAGTGTACAGGAGTAGTTCATGTTACGTATCAGCATGTGCATTTAATTTTCAAAATTGCATGTCATACCTCATAGTAGGTTATGCATGAGTGGTTATTTTAGCTGATTAGCAATATTAATGGGTAGAAAGAGGTGTGGTTGTGATAATTCAGAAAGGGAAAGAAGGCATGCTGCATTACTCCGAATTACCTTCCAAGTATTTTTGCCTGTTTAATATGCACATGCACAACCAGGTAACCCTCATCTGGTAACTCTTCTGCTTTTACCCAGCTACCTGGAAGAGCTGCTTTCCAGGTTCTTATCAGGAAATATCATCTCAGACTCACGGCCATTAATACCTTTCGCAAGCTCTGCAGAGAGAAACAATATTTATGGAGCATTGCCTGAAGTATTTGCTGTCCATCCATTTTTTAGATAAGTCATCGCCAACCTGTTGTCTTCCAGACCCCTGGGGGAGCGTGGAGTTATTGCAAGGTTGCCTGCAAATCCTCTATTAAAGGTATTATGGTCGCTGTCATTGTTATCTGTAAGGACACAACAGTGACATTGAAGAGCTTGTTTAAAGGAATAGAGCCTTTTCCAACATCCAGGTCTCTACTTGGAAGAAAGTCATGTGATAAGTGAAGTCAGTAATGGGATATGGAGCTAGAGTTGCCCGGCTTTGAGCTTAACCACTGTGGTTTCACACACCACCTTAGCTTCGACTGATCCGAAACATTAGCGTGGGGAAGGACCTACCCCCATCCTTGGCCAGTCATGCACTTCTGCTGGCCCAGGACAGGCAGCGTGAAGGCTGGGAGGGAGTGGGGCCATGTGGCCCTGCGGGGCGCGGGAGTTGACCACCTGAGAGGTGGCGGGGCACCCGCTTTCAATACTGGCTTTTACCACCTTAGTAAAGAAAATGAGTTTTCCAAATTGCCCTCTTTGAAATGCAACAGCAGGAGAAGCAGCATCCAAGGGCGCCCAGGACTGGGGGGCAAGCTGGGCACCCCGCTGTGGCCCCCCGGGGAGTGAGAGGAGGGGGAGGCAGAAGGAGCAGCTCTGGAAAAAGGAAGATGATAAGAAAGCACAAAAATGATACTAATTCTGCTGATTTATCTCAAGATGCTCTTCATTAAATCTGTAAATTGCATTAATCTGATCTGAATTCTAATACATACACCAAGATGCTTCCGGTTTTCAAAAGCCAGTGGCAAAAGAGGGAAAGGTGATGGTATCCAATTTAGCTCTCCGTTTATGGAGAATTAAAACTACCCACGTGGGCCCCATGGAAGCCCTCGTAGACAGTGGTGTGAAACTTTCTTTCTTAGCTTGTCGTTCAGAAATAAAGCAGATGATTAGAATAACTAATTTTAGTGCAGACTATAAGAATTCCAAACGTCCGGCCTCGAAGGCAGTTTTTAACCTGTATTAGGTGTGGTTAAGTTTATTCGTCATATTTAATGTACATTTTGTCCCCAAATCAAAGATAAATCGATAGTTTAAATTTTGTCATCAGGGATCCCTGGGTGGCGCAGCGGTTTGGCGCCTGCCTTTGGCCCAGGGCGCGATCCTGGAGACCCGGGATCGAATCCCATATCGGGTTCCCGATGCATGGAGCCATGGAGCCTGCTTCTCTCTCTCTCTCTCTCTCTCTCTCTCTGTGTGTGTGACTATCATAAATAAATAAATTAAAAAAAAATTAAAAAAAAATAAATTTTGTCATCAAATCACGTTTTTCGTTATAAGTGCCTTAACAACCTAAGTTAAGCATGTGACTTATTAATGGGAAAATGTCAAGCTTTATAGTTACATAATGCATATCTTTACATATAATGTTTAAATACTCTTTAGTAATCCCTAACCAACACAAAATATTTTTTTCTTACTTAAAAATCTCTCCTTAATCAGATTTCTCACAAAGGGGACACCATTAAAAAACTCCAGAGGGGATGTGGAAAACTGTGAAATGGGTTTGAAAGTCCTGAGGTCTTGGAAATACCAATTGAGATTATATTTTAAGAAAGCAAGATGAAAGGAAAGAGCAGGTACAAGGACAACACGGATTATTGTATAAAAGGTAAACAAACAAAATAAATGGGAAGCGAAAAGCTGAGGTGGTGGCGGAGAAAATGTGTCTCTTGGATCTCCTATGGCAGAGAGGTGACTGACCCATGATCCCAGAGAGGTGACTGACCCATGATCCCAGCTGCTATCCCCTGAATCCATCCCTGCTGAGTGTGTCTGGGCTGCATTTCCCATGAGCTGCTCCCACCCAGGGATTATGTTGGGGACGTTGGGAGGGTGGGTGTGGGAAGGAGATACTGAGGCAGGGCTGTTAGGGAAAATGATACCAATTTTCCCTAGAAAATTGACAGGCAAAACTCTTAAAACTGTATCGTAGCTTATGATCTCTCTTCCTTCCCTTCATCCTTCCTGCCCTCCTTCATCCTTCCTGCCCTTCCTCCTCGCCCCCCAGCATCTCAGTGTAACTTTTCCAGCCTTTTCCAGCTCCCTCCATCCTTCCTTACGGTGCTTCCCCCTCCCCAGGCTAACATTAAGCTTTTTTTTTTTTTAAGATTTTATTTATTTATTCACAAGAGACACACAGAGAAAGGCAGAGACACAGGCAGAGGGAGAAGCAGGCTCCCTGCGGGGAGCCCGATGCAGGACTCGATCCCAGGACCCCGAAGTCATGACCTGAGCCAAAGGGAGACGCTCAACCGCTGAGCCACCCAGGCGGCCTAACATAAAGCTTTAAAAAAAGAAAGTTAATTACACTGAAGATTGCTGGTGTCCTGGCGGCGGCCACCAGGGGAGACGGGCCTTTTACACTGAGCTCTCTCTGGAGATTTCCAATATATCTAATGTTTAGGCCCTCGGGAATGCTTTATTCATCCATTGATCAAGATACTTAATATACATAGGAAATATTAAATGAGTAAATGCAATTTAAAACCTTTGAAGAAGGTTAACACCCAAAATTTGTGAAGGGAAAGAAAGTATTAGCCATTGCTCTTAAAGGTAATTGTGAATATTCGTCATTTTCTAAGGAAAATAATAAGATATGAGGTAGTTCTTAAAACTTAAGGAAAACATAGCGGGATCCCAGGAGTAACAGGGCTGGATCCCTGCTGGATGCAGACAGAGATGGGGAGTGGGGACCCAGCGGGATGCCCGGGCTCCTGACACGGTCCCTGGTTACACAGCGAGTCCCCGGGAGGTAGATGGAGACTGAGCCCCACCGCCGAGCACACTCTAAGCTGTTCTCCCCACAGCTCGAGGCTGCCCCCCGCCTGACACGGGCAGGGTTCATCCTTCTCTCCTCTCTGCCCCGGTGCATATTCACCTGCTTCCAGGGCTTTGCAGTTACTGGTTTTTACTTCTGTCACCTCTGATGGATGGATGTTCACCCTTGAGGGAGAAATCCGCCTTTTCCATCTTACACCCTCTGGCCCTCGCACACAGTAAGTGCTCAATACATGTTGGACGGGAAAATGAGGGAACAAAATAACAGCTCCACTCCACCCACCAACACTCTGATTGGGCCACATCGCCCCAAAGACCATTTCCTTACACCAGCATTTTATACTCCTCCGCCCAGAACGCCATGCCCAAGACAGCTAAGTGTTCCTTCCCGCATTCCTGACGTGGAGCCTGGTAGTCCAGAATGATCGGCGCTCACCATGGACCAAGGCAGCCTTTTGGGCAGACAAACCAGAGTAACAGAAAATGAGGAAAAGTCTGCAGCAGGTGAGAAGGACAGTGCATCTGATCATCAGGAACCTACATTCTAACCAAAAAGTGGTTTTTTTTTTTTTTTTTTTTTTTTTTTTTTGCCTGTCTCCCTTTTTAGGTTTAAAATGATAAACCCCAGGACGCCTGGGAGGCTCAACGGTTGTGTCTGCCTTCGGCAGGGCATGACCCCGGGGTCCTGGGTTCGAGTCCCACATCGGGCTCCCTGCATGAAGCCTGCTTCTCCCTCTGCCTGTCTCTGCCTCTCTCTGTGTATCTCTCATGAATAAATAAATAAAATATTTAAAAAATAAGAAAACAAAATGATAAATCCCATGGCCTAAAAGGTCAAGTCCCGTGAGATGTAAGGTTTATAATTCCTTGCCCCCGTGGTAGGTCTACTTCTCTTGGACAAATAATTCATCCCCCCAACAGTATGTCTTGAGTGCTTACTATGTGTTAGAGACCTGACAGCTGAGGGCAACCTAAGAGACTGTTCTGCTTCTTTCTGCAGAAGTTTCAAAGAGTCTACAGAGATAGGAACATGTCCCAAGGTCATTGCAAGGAGCAGAAGCAGCATACAAAGTGTTCAATTTGTAAGATAATCCCAGTGTTGCCCATAGGTACCCGTGTGTGTCCACCCGTGTCTGTGTATGTATAGACAGAAGCACACACACATACACGGAGGCCCGGCCGCCCCATAGCACTCCGGAACATTAGCAGGCCATATATGCCTGAGATCTTCCATAGGGAAAACTGAAAGACCGCATTGACAGCGGTACCGGCATTAAAAGCGAGCATCATTTTCTTTGTACTTTTCTGGTTATCCCAAGTTAACTGCAGTAAAGATAGTATCTCATGTCATCTAAAAGGACACCCAATAGGGAAAGAAATATAACAAATGATTAACCATAGTTGCAGCTACGAGAGAGGAAAAGGCCAGAGAGTGAGCTCTTTTTACTTCCTCCTCATCGTCACCTGTTTTTTTCCCAAATGCTCTATGGGGAGCATGTATTTTAAAACTGGGAAGTGGAAGCTACTTGAAAATGTAATCAGGGCAGCCCAGGTGGCTCAGCGGTTGAGCGCCTGCCTTCAGCCCAGGGCGTGATCCTGGGGTCCCGGGATCGAGTCCCGCATCGGGCTCCCCGCATGGAGCCTGCTTCTCTCTCGGCCTGTGTCTCTGCCTCTCTCTCTGTCTCTCTCTGTCTCTCATGAATAAATAAATAAAATCTTAAAAAAAAAAGAAAATGTAATTAGTACGTACATGTTATGGGCTGAATGTTCACATTTCCCAGAATCCATCCGTCGAAGCCCTAAGTCCCCAGGGTGATGGTCCTTGGGGTGCAGCCTGTGGGAGGTTGAAGTCCCGAGGTAGGACACCACAGTGGAGTTGACGGCTCTGCTCCAGGAGGCCAGAATCCCCCTGCTCGCCCCATGGGGGGGGGGCCAGCGAGAGGCGGGGGGGGGCTCACCAGACCCTCAATCGGCCCGCACGTCGATCTGGGACCTCTCGGCCCCCGGCCCCGTGGAGATGAATGTCTGCTATTATTTCCCAGTCTATCGTATGTTGCATCACCCTCTGAACCGACCAAGACAACGTAAGCAACAGACGTCAGAGAACATAATATGTTCTCTACGACGGCTCCGAATGGCAGCAGCCGGTGCTCCCGAATAAATGACTGTGTGACTCTTCTTTCTGTACTAGAATGCTTCTTCCACACGAGATTGTTCAACACTCAGATTTAGACTTTAAACTCTCAGTTAGGTTGGGACCCTCCTGCTAAGGGCATCTTCCACGTCTTCGGACGTGCAAGGGACCGGGAGCGTCCCCCCTGGAGCCCGACCAGAGCCTCCTCAGAAGGACATCGGTGAACGGGCAAAGGAGCAACCTAACCTCCCAGTCCTTCCAAACCTGGGCCTGGGATTTGGGTCCTCAGTCATTCCAGGTTTCCGTTTTGACTCCAGCACTTCTTACCCCAAAAAGGTAGCAGGTGGTAGGAGGAGTCTGGGTTCGCCGGGTCCTGACATCACCACCTTTCTCTTTTTGCAGTCTCAGAAGCTCCCAGACCTAGCGTAGGTCTGCACGGACCAGACAGGCCATCGCCGCTCCTTCGTCAGGCCCTCCTCTGCAGGCTGACCCAGGACCCCTCAGCCCGCCAGGGCTGCTGACACCCCCTTATCGTCTGGGCACCACAGGACTCTGGGCCTCTCACTGCCATAGAACTTTAAGGGGGAACTCCATAGAGTTCTCACGTCCCTGTGTTTCCATATTCGTAATCCCTTTAGGTTCCCTCCCTCCCTCCCTTTTTAAAATTATTTCTTCTTATTTATTTATTTATTTATTTATTTATTTATTTATTTATTTATTTTCAGGAGCCCCCTTCATTGATTTTTTTTTTTTAAGTAAACTCTACCCTCAATATGGGGCTCGAACTCACAACCCCAAGATCAAGAGTCACCTGCTATACTGACTGAGCCAGCCAGGTGTCCTTGTAATCTTCTTTTCTTTATTTACTTACTTTTTAAGATTTTTATTTGTTCCTGAGACACACAGAGAGAGGCAGAGACCCAGGCAGAGGGAGAAGCAGGCTCCCCGCAGGGAGCCCGATGCAGGACTGGATCCCGGGACCCGGGGTCACGGCCTGAGCTGAAGGCAGACGCTCACCCGCTGTACCCCCAGGCGCCCCTGCCACCTTGTAAAGCAGGAAGCCCGCCTGGGTGTGTAGGCCTCTCAGGCGAGCCCCTCAGGCCAGGAAGACAAACAGAACCCGCCGGCCCGGGGCCTGGAGGATACTGATGGCTCTTCTCCGAGCCCAGGCTCCTTAGGTATTGGGATGAACTGGAATCCTTCACGGACCCCACTGGAAAATGCGGGGCTTCCCGGCTACCTTGCCCTTGTGAGTTGGGCAGCTAAGAAGGTCTAGGGGACTGTCTGCCCCCCAGTAGCCAGGCCCAGGTACTGCAGAGCCCATGGGGGCCCTGGGGCTTCCGAGCTCCTCCTCTACCTCTGCCCCTCGGACTACCGGTCCCAACGTGCCCGCAGGTCTCCCCCTTGCAGCCGTCCCCACCTCATCTGCATTTCTCGGGGATCCTCTCGTCTCTGGCAACGTTTTACTGACACCAATTAGAGTTATTGCCCAATTTGATTGTTTTTTTTTTTAAGTTTATTTATTTATTTTATGTGATCTCTACACCCAACGTGGGGCTCGAACTCATCACCCGGAGATTAAGAGTCACATGTTTGCCTGACTGAGCCAGTCAGGTGCCCCCAATTTGATTTTGAAGAAGAAAGAAGAAGAAGAAGAAGAAGAAGAAGAAGAAGAAGAAGAAGAAGAAGAAGAAGAAGAAGAAGAAGAAGAAAGAAAGAAGAAAAGGAGAGGATTTCTAGTTCTTTTTTTTTTTTTTAACTTATGATAGTCACAGAGAAAGAGAGAGAGGCAGAGACACAGGCAGAGGGAGAAGCAGGCTCCATGCACCGGGAGCCCGATGTGGGATTTGATCCCGGGTCTCCAGGATCGCGCCCTGGGCCAAAGGCAGGCGCCAAACCACTGTGCCACCCAGGGATCCCAGATTTCTAGTTCTTAAACACGTTCCCTTGGGTCTGCCACCCGCATGGGCAGCACCACCCTGGCCCACCCCAGCAACATTAGAGCAAAAGCAGTGGCGGGGCTGTCGCCTGTTACTGGAGTTTCAGGCTGAGACAAATTATTGTTATTACCAGGTTATAAACCCTAAAAAAAAAAAAAATCCCATAATGGAAATGCTAACAGCTCATTAACTCTAATGAGCGCCATCGCATAGGACGCGGTCCGACAGAGGGATGGCAACTGTCAACTGGTCTTGCAGCGACCCGGGGAGCTCAGGCCCAGGGTTGGGACCAACCACTCGGCGCAGGTGTGACTCCTCGCCCCCCAGTCAGGCCTGGCCGAACCCCGTTCCTGTGCACGACCTGACTTGTACCTTGAGACGAGGCACCGCATCTGTGGGACGGTTGACAAAGGGGGGAGTTGGCTCCGGCGCCCACCGACGTGAGAGCATTAGGTTCAGACGTCGGCCGGCAGGCAGGGCCTGTTATCACAAACAAGCTGTTTGCTCGCAGCTCCAATCTATTTCTGGAAACTGTTTACCTAAATGAAACTACTGATCCGCTGGGGCATGGTTCAAAGCTCAAAAGATAAGTGCGGTCGGCTGCTGGAAAGACGCAAGCCGGGAAAACATGACGGGAAGAACGAAGTTAGATTAATCCTAGGGAAAAGGAGACTCGATGCTGTAAAAATTACGCGGCGGCGTCCTGTTAGACCATCAGTTAATTTGAATTCCAAAAGTTCAAAGCCACTATTTAAGGGCACTAATAGCTAATATCCTCCCCAGAGTGATCGTCCAGAAAGTTCAGGAAAGCCAGCCCTAGGGGCTGAGGGCTCCGTCCCCCACTGGTCACGATGAGCGGACCAGGCCCTGGCGCGAGGCTGGGGACTCCGTGCCCGGGATATGAGTGACACTCAGCAGGTCTCCCTCAGATGCCTCCTGAACCTCAGGCCCCGCTGGTCTGGGGCTTTGGCTCCCTGAGGTCAACTTTGAATTATGCTCCGTGGAAACGTGGACCCTAACGCCCAAGATTGGAGCCTAATCGTGTGGGTTCTTCCCATCAGCCACTCTGGGGACAAGTTCTGATTTGACTGACCCCAGGTGCAGAGGGTCGAGTTCACCTTCAGCCTCAGTTTATGGCACATCATTATCCCTGGCCCCAGCCCTGTCCCCTCTCCTCGATTTTTGTAAATCCCCCCTGGACCTCTCTGCTCGCCCCCACCTTCCGCTCCTCCCACCCGCAGGCAGCGAGCCGAAGCTACTCCCTGTTTATTTCCTGTGCTTGGATATCGAAATATTGCTGTTTGGTGTCCGTATTTTTTTCTTTTTGCTCCTAAACCCCTCACCCAGATTTTCTTCTATCCTAGTCACAGTCTGGTCTTTGTCCATTCGCATTTTCATTGTTTGCACCTTGGAACTGACCTCAGAGATAGTCTTTGTGTCCTAATTTTTTGCTTGACATTTTTATGGTGGAACTTTTTTTCCTAGTCTTTGATAGTTTTTTTTTTTTTCTTATCTCCCTGCACCCCCAGCAGGTGATGACTGCTAACAGCAGGGTCTATCACCACATATTTCTCCAGGGTCATTCAAACCCCTACACTAGTGGATGCATGTGTGTGTGTGTGTGTGTGTGTGAGAGAGAGAGAGAGAGAGAGAGAGAGAGGTTAACTTTAATGAAAATGGATTCAAAATCCACCTCCCTGTAGTTTGCTTTTCTTTTTTAAGAATAGGTGGTGGTCTTCCTTCCAAGTTAGTAGATGCAGCTGTGATGCATTCTTTTTCATAGCTGCGTAATACTTCATGGGATAGGTGTTCAGGGATTCATTCAACCATTCTTTACTGATGGGCATTTCGGTTGTGCTCAGTTTTTTGCGTGTGTGTGTGTGTGTGTGTGTGTGTTTTTAAGGTTTAGTTACTTATTCATGAGAGACACACAGAGAGAGAAACAGAGACCCAGGCAGAGGGAGAAGCAGGCTCCCTGCAGGGAGCCCGATGTGGGATTCGATCCCGGGACCCCGGGGTCACGCCCTGAGCCGAAGGCAGTCTCTCAACTGCTGAGCCACCCAGGTACCCCTGTGCTGTTTTTTTATGACTTTTTATGACAAATGAAGCTGCAAAGAGTATTTGTGTGCATGAATCCAACATACGGGTGCTTCTATTTCTATAGCATGAATTCCTAGCAACGTGCGTGTATTTTTACCTATATAAATAGCATTAGGTTATATGCTACATTCTATTTCTTACTTTTTTACTGTGCTCTGTGTGTCTGAGATCTGTCGGTGTTATAATCCGTAGGCCTAATCTGTTGGTTCTAACAGCTGCATTAATCTCCGTAGTAAGCTCCCATTTCACTCCAACTATCACTCTCTAGCTGACTGAGCATAACAGCAGCACAACGTTTAAGTACTTCAAAAACACTACTGAGGGATTAATAGAAAATAAATAATTCCAGGTTTTTCAAACTCTCAGTACATCTGACTTTGGAAAACTGTTACGGCAAACAAGGGCACAGAGAGCGGGGGGGGGGATTGCAAGGGTTGTGGTGGGGGGAGGTCTCATTTGTTAAGAATCTACTATTCATCAGGCACTTTATAAAAGTCCTACTTGGCACTCAATACAAACATTCGAAGTAATATTTTACCACTGATTGGATGAGGAAGCTGAGGGATAGAAGGGTTGAGTGCATCCCTCACACTAAGGTGGGGCTGGGATTCAAGGCCACATCCACCAAGCTCCAGAGCCGCAGCCCCCTCACTACTCCAGTTTCACCCCAGACTAACTTCTGGCTTTTTAGACTCGTAAGTGGCAGGGAGGAGGGTGGGGGGAGGCACATAAAGGATCATAAGATCTTCATCTGCAGTTTTATCCAAGGATTTCAGAACACTGTGTGCTGTCGTCGGGGCGGCGCCAGGGGGGCAAGACCCGGGGTGCGGGGGGCGCGGGGCCCGAAGGGGCGCCTTCCACGGAGGACGGGCCCACGGACTCACTGCAGCAGGGCAGGGGCAGGGGGGCAGGGGGAATCGGGCAGCCTGGGGGGCTCAGCAGCTTAGCACCTTCTTTCGGCCCAGGCCGTGACCCCAGGGTCCCAGGATCAAGTCCCACGTCGGGCTCCCTGCACGGAGCCTGCTTCTCCCTCTGCCTGTGTCTCTGCCTCTGTGTGTGTGTGTCTCATACATAAATAAATAAAATCTTAAAAATAAATAAATAAAAGCCAGGAATCTTTCCTTGAGGCCGAGGAGTGACTTAGGCGGCGTAGGTTGGCGAGAGAGAGACACAGGGGGGCAGGAGGCAGGTCGGAGTCCATGCCCGGGGGATGGGGGGGGGGGCAGATCCCAGAGGAGGTGGCGGCCCTCTGCCTCCCCGGCCAGCAGCAGCTCCCGTGGGCGGAGGTGGTGTCCTCCCCCTTGGCTTTGGGGTGAGCGTGACTTGCTGCGCCCCCGGGAATGTGAGGACAGTGACTACACACCGCTCTCAGCAGAGGCCTGGAGGGGCCTGGAGGGACCTGGAGGGACATGGAGTGACCTGGAGGGATGTGGAGGGGCCTGGAGGGACATGGAGGGGCCTGGAGGGACATGGAGGGACATGGAGGGGCCTGGAGAGATGTGGAGGGGCCTGGAGGGACGTGGAGGGATGTGGAGGGGCCTGGAGGGACGTGGAGGGACGTGGAGGGACGTGGAGGGACCTGGAGGGACGTGGAGGGACTGCTCCCTTGGCACATCTGCCCTCCGCCGTGAGAACACTGGGGCCCTGGCAGCAGGTGCCCATCAGCCTGGGACCCCAGTGAGGCCAGGCCAGTGGCACAGACCCGACCAGACCCGCTGCCTGGGGCCGAGCCCGGCTCGGCCCAAAACCCTGAAAGAGAAATGAAGGTTGTAACTGTGGCATCGGATTGCAGGTTGCCGTTACCACAGCAAAAGCCGACTGACAGCCTGCAGGGGGGAGTCATGGGTCTTGGAAGGGTCCAGGGCCACTGCTCTCTCAGCAACAGGAGGGGAAGCCGAGAGGGATGAATAGATGAAAACACATGTTTGCAAGTGGAAGGAAGGGAAACTGAGGCACTTCTCACCTGACGCTCTGTTACTGGGCCATCGGGGGAGGGCGGTGCAGAACGTGGCATGGGGGGGGCACCAGCCTAGGGCTCGGGGGAGGCGCAGGTGCCACTGGAGGCCTGAGAAGGACGCCCGGCTCACTAAATGCACAAATGCCCTGGACAAGAGGACGAGAGGCAAAGGATCCCCCTCCAGGTGGCTTCAAAAATGGAGCAGAAGGAAGATGTGGGAGGAAGTTTCCTAAGCTCAAAATTCGAAGCAAAACGTCAAAGTATCCCTTTTGCCATGTCAGGGACACACCTGAAGGTCAACGTCATGGGCCTCCCAATATTGGGTTTCACCGATGACGACGGAAAAGAACTTGGCCGTCGATGGCAACGTGCCCTCCTCCTCGCTTATCACCGTCTCTGCTATTGCTCCGAGCCGCCTGCTTGTAGCCGCCAGCCTGAGAGAAGAACGGCGGCAAAGGGACCACGGTCCAGGTCCCCAGGTGTCCCGTTACTGGGGGAACCCATGTCCGACCGCTTCCTTACTCTCTCTCTCTCTGAACTTTGCTGCAAAATTTCAAAACTTACTACAAGACCTTTCAAGCTGCTGCTACAGTTTTTATACTATTGTAAGTTCCCAGGCAGTCTAGAAACCACCAAAAATAGCTCAACGGTGACAATAGTTAAAAAAGAAGAAATCAAAGATTTCTTATGACATAATATGATCTCTCTAAAAGGCACCTCTTTGGTTGTCTATCCACAGAATTTTGTTTGTTTGCAAAGTTAGTGTAGCTTGATGGCAAAAAGCTAGAAAGCAGATGCGGCTCCTGCGGGGTCAGTCAGTGAAGTGTCTGACTCTTGATTGCAGCTCAGGTCATGATGTCAGGTCGTGAGATCGAGCCCCGCATCGGGCTCTATGCTCAGTGTAAAGGCGGCTTGAGATTCTCTCTCTGTGTCTCCCTCTGCCTCTCTCGCTGCTTGGGCTCTCTCTCTCTCCCTTTTCCCTCTCTTTCAAATAAATAAAATTGGGACACCTGGGTGGCTCAGCGGTTGAGCATTTGCCTTTGACTCATCAGGTCATGACCCCGGGGTCCTGGGATCGAGTCCCGCATCATGATCCCTGTGGGAGCCTCTGCCTGCATCTCTGCCTCTCTCTGTGTGTCTCTCATGAATAAATACATAACATCTTAAATAAACAAACAAAAAATACATAAAATCTTTAAAAAAAAAAAAACATAAAGTAGAGCTTGGCCAGAGACCAAGCAGTGTGGTAATTGAGAATATAACCTCTGGGGCTAAGAGCCTGAGTTTGAATCCAGGACCTGCCAAAGTGTTTAATTTTGAGCGAGTTGCTTGATCATACTGTGATCAATAATAATCCCTCAATGCATCGTATCTCTGCCACTTACCAGGTGTGACCTTGGGCAAGTCACTTAATTTCTCTGAGCCTCAATTT